ACAATAAAATGTGACTTGTTGAATGATACGATGATGCAACTTTGCCCTCTCAACAATGCAAATCTGACCCAGTGCAACTTATTTTCAAGAAAATGCAGTAATTAAATCGGTGTAAGTGTGGTGTTCTCAGGTCATATATTATATGAGAGAGAGGACAAAGTTGCATAATTGTATCATTCAACAAGCATCGGTATCGGGCCTGATACTGCTAGCGTTGCAAAAAGGTGGAAAATTTCCAGTAAATTTTGGAAACTTTCCAGGATTTTTTTTTTAATATTCCAGGGATTTTTGGAAAGTTTCCGGAAATTTTCCACCCCTTTGCAACCCTAGATACTGCGCTCCTCTACTCATACTCATTAAAGCCCCACAGCGCATGAACAGAGCTGTGTCCAGACAAAGAAACACCGACAACAGAACGAACAGAGAGCAGAATGGAGTAATTAGAGACTAAGGATATCTACGAACTACATGTATGCAATTAATATAATGTTAAACATTCAATATTCATGCCTGTATAGCTGATGTGCACGAGTTGAAACGCAAGCACGCTGAGTGGATTTTCGAGCGAATATCCCTTTCTCACAGACATCACTAGAAAGTTTATGGTTTCAAAAACAAGTAAAATGATGCGCAAGTTACTTAAAAGTAAGGAGAGAGAGAGAGAGAGAGAGAGAGAGAGAGAGCGTGCACTTCTATTGCATGATCTTGATTGCTGTTCGCACACTTAGCACACGCATCATTTGAATTAAAACTAAATCATAAATATAAAACAAACAAAAATTATAGGGGCATTCACTAACAACATTTATTTTAAACGTCAAGCCTATAGGGCTTTATTTAATGCGAAAGTGAAGTGTGAAAATAACTGAAGGAAAAATCTATTTGCTAAATGAACTAAGACAACTAACATTATTCATATTCTTTTGGTTTCTGTACCCAGTATTTCTTAAAAATTACAAATGGCATGAAAATACAGGTATTATTACTCTGTATCGGAATGTACCAAAAATAAAAGTATCGTATCGGCATCGTTCTGAAAAAAAATGGTATCGGTGCATCTGTAAAATTCCGAAATAAATGTAACACAATGGTATATAAAATGAAACATTTAACAAACATGAAAATTTTAGTATTTTAGTTCCTCTCACTCCACAACAAATCCTTTAAACTTAACCGTATTCAGAACAGGAATAATATATAACGTATAAAACAAACTAATGACAGCAGCATTCATCAGAAACAATATTTGTTATAAATGCCAAACTTAAACGAATTTATTTAAAGTGAAAACGCTGTGTGGGAAATGCGCTATACAAATAAACGTGGGCTCATGTACCGCACTCATTCAACACCAATACATATACACTGAATGTAGGATTTACTTTGAAACCATTTTCACTCAGGAATTGCTTGTAAACTTCACAATGAATTACAATGAATCGGCAGGTAATAACGTGACATTTTGTAGAAAGACTGAAACATTTTCTTGTAAAATGTACTCCAATTATAATCTTTATTTACATTAATGATTATTGAAGTAATTGCATTACATATATTATAAAGCGAATACGATGCAGCATGTTTTGCATTACAAAAAAAAAACTTGATTTATATTCTGGAAAATATGGTACCCAAACTTTATCATTTGTTTTGGTTTGTGACTAAATGAAAACTTAATTTTCTGTGCTTTATTTCGGTGCATGACTAGTTTTTGAAAGCATGTAGTTTTGCAAACACAAAACTGGTGGAGTCCCTGTCTATCTGTCCTATCAGCTGTCTATCTGTCCCTTTTCAAGGCAGATAACTGATGGTTATCCTCCATAAGAGCAGCGATGCTCAGCATCCCCCCCAGTCACTGCCATCCAGCAACCATTAATAATTCACAAGCAGAAATCCACAGGGAAGTGGAGGGGAGGTAGTCGTGCCGAAAGCACAGAGGGGGAATCACAAAATGAGGACAGGAACGACAGAACAACAGATGAGAAGAAAAAGTGGGAATTAGAGGGAGAAGGGTGTGAGAGAGGAGGAAGGAGAATCTAACGTCATCATGAGATGAGCGAGCGGGAGGGAGCTGCTCCAGCAGGCGGCTGGCTATAAATAGCTCAAATCTCCCAAGAAAAAAGCACAGCGCTGCTGCAAACCCAACACAAGATGGACTGAAGCCACACACATGCACGGCGTAACACAAGCACAATCACTCCGACACGGAGGCCGGCAGCGGATCCGGAGCAAACGGCACGTTCAGGTTCACAAGCGCATGTCGTGATGTGACTTCGTTATCAATATTACAGCAGCCCTTTCAGCTAAATATGAGCGAACACCCGCCATCTCATATGTGGGAGGACTGTGCCAAACGCACCCGCAAACACACCTTCAAAGCGCATTACAGTCCGCAGCACACATGCATCCTAATGCGTTTGAATTAAAGCACAACTTTTGAAACACACCTCGAGATCTGGGCTGATTACTGAAAGATGAAGCCCATGAGGCCCGTTGCATCAATCAGATGTCATATGCGTGTGTTTATAACTGGGGACGGGTAATTAATCTATCAAGGCGTGATTATCTGACAGTCTTCAACAAGTCCAGATTAACAGCCTTTATCTGTCGCTTGACTAAATGTGTTAAAGCCAAAGTAGGTGCCGATGCAGCAGAGATGTGCGTTTCAACAGGTATGATGGGATGAATGTCCATTATGAGCCTAATAACACTGCAATGCCAGCAAACATCTGGAGGAAATGCTTTTGCCAACTAGGGTTGAGACGGTGAGGAAATTTTCACTCCGGTTAATTGACGTGTGACAATACGGATAATACCAGTATCACCGCGGGGGCGTTTCCTCTTTTCCTCGCTTTCCTTGGATTTTAAATAGCTTTCAAAAGCCGCGCGCGCATTTTACTTTCACTTTCAAATAGCGGCAATTCGGCGTAAAGCAATTGTTCGTTTGAATTTTCCCTCTTTCCCTTGCTTTCCTTCACTTTTAAATAGCTTAAAAGCACCGTGTCAATTCGGCGTCAATTGCTTGAATGCAACAACAAAATACAACGTCAAACTCACTTTAGCGTATATATAAAACATAGAACTTTTATTAACAAAACGAATAAAAATACACCATGCTATAGGGCAGGCTATGCCTAATATAAAATAACAAATAACTTACATAAAGTTTAATAGGTATACAAAACTGGAAATAAGTAAACATGTATAATATATAACCAAATAAATAAGAAACGTAGAACGTTTATTAGCAAAAGGAGTAAGAAAGCTTGGAGGCACGGCATACACCTTGATGTCAAATAAAATAAATAAATGACAGTTTAAATAAAGCAAAAATCAGCAAACTATGTGGAGCCAATTAAAGAAGAAACTAATGTTTAAAAAAACTTCCAAAATCACCTTATATAAACGGCAAAAGTCAACAGGCTTTTCAAAATCCAAAATACTGACAAACAGGCGCTTTTGCATCTCGTTTCGAAACTAAATCATCCGCGATCGTCTTGTCTGTCTCACCTCACTCTTCTGGTCAGTCAGCTCGACTCACTCTCCTCACTGGAGAAATGAAATCTGATCTGTGATGCGACTGTCGTTCAACTGCATTGAGCAGCCGTGTTCAGTTTTTAATTGTAGCGTCTGTTCTTTTACAAGCATAAGCGCGGCTAACGCTAATATAATATAATGAGCATTAGTGTTGTCACGGTACCAAAATTTCAGTATTCGGTACCAATACCAGTGAAAATCCACGGTTCTCGGTACCAAAGCAAAACACAAAAACATGTAGGGCTGCACGATAAATCGCATGCGATATTTAACGCGCATCTTGTCAGTAAAGCCGGTTCTTTAATCAGCTGTAAATCTCCATCACGTGCGGGCTTTCACATGGAGCAGCATTAACTACACAGAGCCGTTGTTCACTGACAAGCTGCGCAAAATATGATCGTGATTTTGGCGCAGCTTGTCAGTGAACAACGGCTCTGTGTAGTGGTGAAACACAACGTTTCAAAGACTTCTCACAGAAAACCAGAGCATCTCGTTACTCAAAACAGCCTTCTGTTAGCTTCAGTACAGCTTCAGTTAATTCATTCTGATTCCATTTCTTCAAGCAAACAAAAACCATGGTATTATCACAGTACTTTATATGAAATATGATAATCACACCTGCCATCTAGGTAAATACTAACAACTTAGTGAGCGTTTACAGGGACTTGCATAACACTTTGACATGTGACCCACTAAAGTCAAGCCCAAAATAAGTATTAAGGCCTGTTCACACCAGGAACGATAACTTCTGTTTATCGGTCTGTCGCTTTAAATGCTTGGGCTCGATGATTCTGATTGGCTGTCAATCATTGTTGCCAAGTCTGCGGTTTTCCCTCGGAATCGGGCTACTTTAACACTGTTGCCGCGGGTTGATTTTCACGTCCGCGAGTTCAAGCGACATCAATAACGTTATATTTAGCTTCTGGAATGCGAATTTTACCAGGGGGACCCAGACAGAAACGTGTATTTTACGTCCGGAACGCGATTTTTAACTGGGGACCCCTCTAAACACGACTGGGCTTGTTTTGAGTAGCGATTGGACGGGTTTTGTTGTGAAAGCCTGGCAACCCTGCTGTCAATGTTTTCACACTTCATTAGCCGAAAAAAAAACAAAGGTTCTAAAAGTGATTCCAACCATATCGTTCCTCTGTGCCATTTTCACTACGCTTATTACAAGTGTATTATTCTAGTTATCGTTCTTGGCGCTTCAAAGGAAAGAACTCTGTTCTGATGAGCAGGTCTGAGGGGTTTTAATAATAAGCGCGCTGTTTGAAACGCGACGCGACGAATCGAGAACGCCTCCGCCGTTCAGATCGGCACCGTTCTGCTTCTCACGAGTCAGTTTAATCACGCTTTGGGTGAAGAATTACCCGTTATCCTTTCACTGGCGACTTTCGTGAGCTTTACCAGAGACACACACATCGATACCTGTTCCATTTAAAGCGTTCAAACGCGACACTTACCCGTTAATCCCTCGCGTTCAGCCAATACGATGAAACAGCGCTGTAGGTCGGCGTTCTGGACGCGTTGTGGCGTTTTTGTTGCGTTTCCAGTGATTTGGAGTCAATATTTACCTCACAGCACGGGTTAAATAATTAGCCTGTGGCGGCTAAGCGAACGCCAGCTAAGTCGAAATGACAATCGGCCAACTCACGAACTCGTGAGCGCATTACTACCGCTCAGGATGGGTTAGGTGAACATGTTTAAAGTCATAACCCTCCGGTAGCCGAATAACGACAGCCCGCCGCCGCTTAATGCCGTTAAATCGCCACCGAGCACGAGTTCGCGGCGGCCAAACCGGAGCTCGAGTGGGCGGGGCCGTGACGTCAGAGGTAAACCTCACAAAAAGACCCCGACAAAAACACGGAGTTTCACAAACAAGCGGCAGCTGAGAGCAGCGCGAGTGCTGATCCGTGTTCTTGTAATCATGTTCCGGATCAGCAAACGAGGGGATTAAACAACGGAGACGCGCTGAAACAAGAACGCTGTCTCTTTCTGCGCTTTACGTCACTGTTCCATGTGTTTGTGCTTACAGGAAACAGAGGATGGCGCTGTCGGCATCCTTTCATTCTCGGATGAATATGCAAATAAGGGTTTGATGTATCTGATTATTGTATTGATATTGTAATGTTACAATTTGAGTTAACCTGTAACAAACAACATCATCATCATCGATGTCTATATATATAGGCCTATATATATATATATATATATATACAAAAATTAAGTTCTAATTACTTAAGTAATTAGATTAAATTACATATTAAATTACTCATAATCAGACTACAGTTACTTTTTTATTGATTAAATGATTACATGTTATTCACACAATATCAATAGATTATTCATAATTTATTGATTCTTCCTAATTCCTCTTTTTCATTTTTAAATGTTCCTTTCTAATACCGCTTATATGCATTCAGAAAGTCTTCCAGTTTTGTGGACATTCACACAGAGATCAGTCACTAGTCAGGTGGCTACACTGTATTTACAAAAAAATTCAGTTCAGGTGTTTCAACATTGCATCAATTACTGATGAACACATTCAAGTTTATTTGAATTATCACTCAGTAGGTTATTTAACCATCTATTACAATGTCTTTGGAAGGCTTTTGTCTTTCAAATGCACAAATTCACGTTATTTCTTATTTACATGTAATGCATGCATTCCCAAACCTTTGTCATCTGAACATCTTTCACATAATATACTTACTTGAAGTACCCCTGAGATTTATAAATAAATATTTTAATAATTAAGTATCACATTTGCATGTCCGCGGGTCTCTGAAGTTGGTTAATGGTCACATGACATGCAGGAAAACAAACAAAATGTTGTATTTTTTTTTAATAAGTGTATTTTTTGATTGATGTTATTTTAAAATCATTTATTTTAATTGTACATTTTTATGATTTAATTAATTATTTGCTTCTCATTAAACTCACGAACCCCCTGCAGTTCCTTTATGAACCCCAGTTTGGGAAACCTTTATATTGTAATGTAATGTTTAATGCACTTCATGTTGTAAATAACAACGAATGGAAAATTTTTTCTTTTTCTTTTTCTTTTTAAATAAATATGGTACAAAATTGTCCTGATTAAATAAATGTGTTAAACGAGTCAGATCAAAAGTACTCTAAAAGTAGTCTGATTATATTACCTAAAATGTGTAATGTAATGGATTACGGTACTAACTACAAATTGTGTCATATCGTTGCGAATCAGTAATGGATTACTCTTTTCAAGTACCGTATTGGCCCGAATATAAGACGACCCTGATTATAAGACGACCCCCCTTTTTCCAGATGTACCTTTTGGAAAAAGGCTTTTTAAAAACCAAATCTTGTTTTTTCTCAGTAAAACACATTTTGTCTTCAATTATTTTCATATTGCATATTTTTCCTATTTAATTTTTGTTTTGAAAGTATGGTAAAAACTGGTAAAATGTACCAACAATCACATTTAAAAAAAATACCCTTTTTGATATACCATTAAAAAAAAAAAAAACAGGTAGCCCATCTGAATTAGGACATTTAGGCTATCCATCTAATAGTAGCCTACCAAAATCTTATTAACAGTAGAAGTAGAGTTGGTCCCATCAGGCTAACGTGACAGTCACGACTCGTGCAGCTGTAAGGATGGTAATTCAAAGTGCTTTACATAAAATAAAATAAAATAAAAATTATCACACCAAAAACACCAAACTTTAATAAAAGAGAGGAGAAACATGACACGGTTTACACAAGCATTTATAAATGCAACAGTTGTACGGCTCACATGATGCAACCCATGCACAGATGACAGCATTCATCATGTCTGATCTCCAGATGAACACTGATGTGTGGCCACTAGACGGCGCCTGCGCACTGCGAGTCTGAGAGGCTCACAGCATCTGCTGATGGTCTGATGTCCCGCGGGTTCATTAAGCTATCTGTGTTAATTAATCACCCGCAATCACTCCACAAGCCCATGTAGGGATGAAAAAGATTCTATCGATATTCTTTACCCTTGCTTTTTATTTATTGCTCGTGCTGCTCGCATATTGCAATGTTTAGTGTTAAATGGCCAGACATTGAATAGTTTGCGTTTAAGTCAGTAAACCTGATGCACGAGCTCACTGCCTCATTTTACCACTGAAAAAGAAAAAAGCAATTTTGAATCAATTTTCACTCAAAAATCACTTCGAAAAATAATTTAAGTGTATCAGCACTATTAAACTGTATGATAGCCAATTCTTTGCTATTTTTGTTTTCTAAAAAAATTAATAAAACTAATTCTTAAACTAATCTTTTACAATGTTCGACGCTCACTAAGCAATCCTGAAACTCTGGCACTTTACTGTCCTCTTAATAAATGTACAGACATTTATGTATTTGATTTAAATAGCTCTAATGGTCATTTTGTTAACATTTACCAGTTTGGCTTTCTTCTGAGGAACACAAGAAGATATTTTAAAAACGTTGGGAACCAAACCATTGCACCCCTAGACATTTTTCAAACAGGTTCAGAAGGACAGTAAGCGATGCAGAAAGCAGAATGCTCATTTTTGTGCGAACTACCCTTTTAATCGTCATAGTTTGGGATCTTTACGCTTAATGGAGTCATGCAGTTGGTTGAGTTTCTGCACGCTGGTCGATGCATGAACAGATGCACCACACTGGACTTCCCCATTTGAAACAGCCGGGCTTGCGTCAGATTGACCGATCTCGTGTTGCCTTGTGATCCGTTTGGTTTGGATGCTTTAGGGTTACGATGCTGGGGGTCACTGGGACAGAGGTGAGAGTTTGGACTTCGCTTGGGCAGCCGCGGCTCGACGTGGCACTGTAATTGTCATATGTTTATTTGCTCGCGCTAATGATTAACTCCAGCAGAGCTATATATATGCTTCAGTGAGGAGTGTGCATGATGTGCATCCCAACAGAGCGTCCTCCCTCCCCTCGAGCGTGTGTGTACATGTGTGACAGCCAGAGCGTCATTGGTGCGTCCCTTAAACGTGTCACAACTTTTGATGGATTACCCCACTTCTGAGTGCTCAGGTGCGGCTCAGTCCTCTCCGTCCACTCGCTAGTGCGCGTCTCCCCAAACCTGTTAGACTCAAACGAGCGAAAGCAAAGTCAACATGTTCTTAGTGTCGTTCTCGTGGGCTCACATGTGCGGGCTTGCGTCCGCGGTGCTGTCCACGCTGGTGGTGCTGAACGCGTTTACGATGAATGGAACGAGCGCGGCCACCACCGGCTGTCCGACGTGCGGCATGCCGGCGATGGAGAAGGGCACGGAGGAACGTTACCTGGTCGAGATGGCCAAACAGCAGATCCTGGACAAGCTTCACCTGCGGGAGAGGCCGAACATCACGCAGACGGTGCCGCGTGCCGCGCTCATGACGGCGCTGCGCAAGCTGCACGCGGGCCGCGTCAGACAAGACGGAACGCTGGAGCTGGACAATAACGTGCCCAACTCGCGCACCAGTAGCCAGGCATACGAGATAGTGAGCTTCGCTGATGTCGGTGAGTGTGCATCTGACTTACAGAGAGTTTATAGAAGCGTTCTTAGCACAAACTGGTTCGTGCGCACGTGCGTTTACACAAATTCTCACATTGAACTGAACGGGTTTAGGACCGATTTACACAGAAAACCTTTTTTCTCAAAACAAACTATAGGCTACATTAAAATATGTTGAACGGTGAGCACATCTGACTTATAAATCGTTCAGAAAAGCATTCTTAAAATTACATCCCTTACATCAGTTCTCAGCTGAATTGAATGGATTTACGAACGATTTACATAGAAGAAGAAAAAAAAACAGTTAGATCTGGTGAAAATACTAAAATGAATGGTTTTAAGAACGATTTACACTGTTAAGATGCGGTTTCTTCAATGGTTAACTGGTTTTTAAATGTCAGAGCAAACTATAGCCTACCCTAAACAATGTTATATGCATATTTACAAAGTACATCTGAATTATTGTGCCTCTAAATCGTTCATAAACGCATTTTTAAACGTTTTTGCGTTCATTGTAAATCGGTACGTGCACTTTATGTAAATTCTCACGCTTATTTCAGATACATTAAGACATTTTATATACATATACTCAAACTGAAAAATGCATGTAAACTAAATATTAAAATATTCCGATGCATCTTATTTTTGACATAAGAGTGGGCGTGGTCATTTGAACAGGCCAGACTTCCGGCGTAATGGTTTCTAATTTTAGCTGTACAATTCTTTTCTCTTTTAAGTTCTGTTTTTTTATTTTATTTAAACTTTGTCAAATACACAAAATGTGTAAATGTGAGAAATATTTTAAGAACTTGCTGTTGAATTCTGTAATGTTGAAAGTTCAGCCGGTTATGCTGCTTTATAATGTAAACTGTTTTTTGCCATCATATAATTTTAATTTAATAACAAACGCACAAACTGGTTTGTAGCACAAATAATTTTACAAAAAAGAAAACCTAGAAACAAATTTCACTCTAAAATTACTAGTAAATTTAACATTACAAAGAAATTTACGTGAATTAAGCGTGAAATTGTGAAGTAGACTGTAATAGTATTTTCTTATCTTTTCTGTAATCTTGTTTTTTAAAAAAAAAATTTTTTTTATACAGTGTACACTCTAAAAAAAAATGCTGGGTTGTTTCAACCCAACTTCGGGTCAAATATGGACTAACCCAGCTGTTGGTTTACATTTTTTAATTAAATGTTTAACCCAAAAGTTGGGTTAGACCATATTTGACCCAAAGTTGGGTTGAAACAACCCAGCATTTTTTAGAGTGTAGCTATTCACCTACAG